TCAAAGGAGTATTTTTTATTGAAGCATAGGTGATTCGCAACGCTGTATCCATTTCTGACGTACAGCAAAGTGATTCAGTTTTACCTTTATATATGTACTCTTTTTCTTATTCTTTTCTGTTATGGTTTATTAAAGAATATTAAATATAGTTCCTTGTGCTATGCAGTAGGACCTTGTTGTTTATTTATTTTATATATAGTAGTTTGTATCTTCTGGAGAAAGCAATGGCACCCCACTCCAGTACTCTTGCCTGGAAAATCCCATGGATGGAGGAGCCTGGTAGGCTGCGGTCCCTGGGGTCGCTAAAAGTCAGACACGACTGAGCGACTTCACTTTCACTTTTCACTTTCATGCATTGGAGAAGGAAATGGCAACCCACTCCAGTGTTCTTGCTAGAGAATCCCAGGGACAGAGAAGCCTGGTGGGCTGCCGTCTATAGGGTCACACAGAGTCGGACATGACTGAAGTGACTTAGCAGCAGCAGCAGTTTGTATCTGCTAATCCAAAACACCTAATTTACCCCTCTTTCTTTGCCCTTTGGCAACCATAAATTGTTTTTTGTCTATGAATCTGTTTCTGTCTTATAAATAAGTTCATTTGTATCATATTTTAGATTCCACATATGAGAGATATCATATGGTATTTGTCCTTCTCTCAGACTTACTTCACTTAGTATGATAATCTCTAGTTGCATTCATATTGCTTCAAAAGGCATTATTTTTGTTTTTTATGGCCAAGTAGTATTTCACTGTGTATGTGTGTGTGTATTTTATATATACAAAATAGATATATATGTGGCTTTCCAGGTGGCACTGTTGATAAACAACCGATCTGCCAATGCAGGAGATACAAGAGACTTGGGTGCCATTCCTGGATCAGGAAGATCCCTTGGAGGAGGGCATGGCAACCCACTCCAGTATTCTTGCCTGGAGATTCCCCTGGACAGAGGAGCCTGGTGGACTATAGTCCATAGAGTCTCAAAGAGTTAGACATGACAGAAGCAACTTAGCACCCACACATGCATATATATATCACAGCTTTATTTATTCATCTGTCAATGAACATTTAGTTTGCTTCCATGTCTTGGTTACTGTAAATAGTACTTCTATGAACATTGGGGGTACATGTGTCTTTTTGAATTATGGTTTTCTCAGGGTATATACCCAGTAGTAGTATCGGTGAGTCATGTGATAGGTTTATTCTTAGTTTTTTAAAGGCACCTTTGTACTGTCCTCCATAATGGTTGTACCAATTTACATTCCCACCATTCCCTTAAAAATGCTTATTCTAACACAACACTGTAAAGCAATTATCCTTCAATTAAAAGAATTTTAAATGCTTAGAGAGGACTTATGAAAAATTATTCCATAAGTACATATCAAATTTGAAATTATTACACCAACATACTGTAAAATCATTTTGAAAGACAATACAGCTTTCTCAGAATTTATAATCAAAACTTGGGGATATTTTATAGAAATTCTTTTTAACCCTGCATTGTTAAAAATATTCTCTTTAAAAGTAGGGCCTACATTTCTGGTACATTTCCAATGAAACCCTTGTGGAATCTGATACACTCAGGCTCTGGGTGCTCAGTAAAAATCATGGGTAGTCATTAGGTTATCAAATAGGCCTTTGACTAATTTCCTCTACTAGATAAGATATATTAAATATGTATTATATGTAGAATGTATATTATAAATATATAATATAAATATCTATAATAAGTATGTATTATAATAAATTTCCTCTATTAAATATGATAAGTAAATTTTTACATTCCAAAAATGATACAGGTTCCTTAATTGTAAAACATGTCTGGCTTGTATTATAATTTGACATTAAGTATTAAGATGCCTAAAACCTTTCCCACACTTTAATAACCCAGTGGTGTTATTTCTGAGAAACTAGCCTAAGGTTGTAATCAGGGAATGAGAACTTTTATGCACAAATATTCATTAAATTTTTGCTAATAAAAGTGCTTTTTCTTTTAAATGTGGGTTCATGGTCCAAAGTTAAAGAAAGATTGATGTAACTGACCTGAGACAAATGTAACTAACCCAAAATGGAGGAATAGTTAAGTGAGTCATGTATCTGTCTATTAACGCAACCATAAAAATTCATGTTTACAAGGAGTTCACAATGGCATGTTAAACTGCTTATAACATTACCTACAAAAGGAGTAGAAAACATATTATACAGTAATTGTATACAATTATACAACCGAAATATTTAAAGCTTGCTAATAAAAACTAGCCATGAGGGGACAACACCAAAGGAAATGTTTCAAAAAGATTCACTCTTTTTTTCTTCTATTTTTAGACATTTTCCAAATTGTATCTAATGTTCATACCTATCTCTATAATGGGGGAAAATGTCACTTTATTAAGGGTGGCATGGAAGGAGAAGGACAGAAAACAAGCCTGAGAGTGTTGGTGTTAGGATAGGGTGTATAAAGCTAAAGTATGCGTAAGTTCCCACTTAAGGACTCAAGTGCATTCATAACAATAGTATTCAATATTTCCCGCCAAGTGTTATTCTCAAGTGGAGTTGGGACTTGTCCTTTAAGTTCATTCTGAGCTCAGTATTGAGAAGTGCTTTCCTATTGTTTCAACCCTACTCAGCAAATACTGTTGCTTTGAGGAAGCCCAGGTGGTTCCGTGGTAAATAATCCACCTGCCAATGCAGGAGACAAGGATTCAATCTTTGGGTTAGGAAGATCCTCTGGAGAAGGAATGGCAACCAGCTCCAGGGTTCTTACCTGGAGAATCCCATGGACTGAGGAGTCTGGCGGGCTACCGTCCATGGGGTCGCCAAGAGTCAGACATGACTTAGCGACAGAGAACACACTGCACACTCCCTGGTAACCATCCCCTGGTGACAGGTTCCCACCACCCGAGTCATGTCCTTGGGCAAGAATGCAAGGACAAAGAATGGGCAAAGAATGCAATTCTTTGGCAAGAGGAGCCAAAGAATTCAAACACAATCATCACCAGGCCCCGGTAAGAGGCGGTGCTACCCTGCTTGTGAAATCATACTGCAGGAGTTCTTTGTCAGGTACTGGCTAAATATTAATATATCAACCAGTGGCTGGGGACCATCTTTCCCTTCCATCTGGGATGGGAAAAAAAAAAAAAAGACAACAGTATCACTGAGGGTTCTTTTTAAGCCACAGAAATCAAAAGGGGCTAATTTAAACCAAAATTGATTGTAAATTGAGTCCTGGGACTTCCCTGGTGGTCCAGTGGTTAAGACTTTGCCTTCAGTGCAGGGGGTGTGGATTCAAGTCCTGGTCAGGGAACTAATACCCCACACTGCATTCCAAAGAACCAAGGCATAAAACAGAAGCAGTATCATAACAATTCAATAAAGATTTTTCTTAAGAAAAGAAATTGAGTCCTTTACAGAAGGAAAAACTAACCATGTCCTCCTGAAGAATATGAACCAGAACTCTCATCAGGGGCATATGGACAATCCCTATTGGGTAGTACTATCAGACTCAGCTTCCACCAGGTCTAATCTTATCAGTTCACTTATGACTAAAATTCCCTGTGGAGAAACAGCTAAAGGACCATCTTAGACCATGTGCTGATGTCCCTTGGCCAGAAGAAAGTCCCACCAGGATCTCGTGGAATAGAAAGAAGTCATTCCTCAAAGATAGGAGAACCACACATTGGCGTTTGCCCTAGACAATCCCAATGTGTACCTGTTTTCCAGGAATAACTATAAATAGCATCAATTTCGCTCACAAACATGTGTAACTTTGGATAAGAAATTGCATGATCACTCCACACAAAGGAAAAACAGGGCATTGTTAACCAAAGTGGGGAAAGTAGTGCTGAGCTGGTGCCCACCATTCCAATGAGACTCTTAGAGGAGGTCAACACAAAGTGTTTTGCACCCAATCTCTCAGGTCAAAGAATCACAGTCAAAAGTCTTTGTCAGTCTTCTGCTTTTGATTCCAACATGAAAATAACATTCCTGTACTCACCCCCTATGTTTTGAATTATTATGACTTTGACCCAATAATTCTATTCCCTTGTCTTCCTATGTCCTCCTGCTAAACTAACTCCTAACTGTTAAAATGTTTTCTTTTTACTGCTGCTTTTTTAGCTTAATTTGTGCTCTTCTGCTTTCCAAAATAGAATGTTAACATCCATTCACCCAGCTGGAGGGTCAGGGTGATACCAGAGTCGACATTCCCCAAAGCACGTGTAGAATAGCTGCCATACCCCTCTTGCTGACTAATAATGAATCAAATAGCACCTTTTCATTCTGATTTCCTCTGAGAGGCTGTTCTACAAGCATGGGGTCAACTTAAAGAAACAGGGTTTTTGTGTAAAAATTTCTCCTTTCATTAGTGCACTTAAATTACTTTCTTGCAAACTCTGCTTGTTACCTAAATGTACTAGCACTTTTGTTACCTAATTAGCTTTCTTATCAGAATTCCAACCAAAAATAACAAGAAATGTAATAATGATAAGGTATCCTGCCCCCTCCAAACAGATTTCCTTTCGCGCTTTATCTCTAGGTACTGTTCTGGCTTGTTTTAATTAAAGTATCAGAAATTATTAGGCTCAAATTATTTCTTGATCTAGTGCTCAAATTCTCCTGAAAAACTGCTCCTTCTGCCTCCGTATTTAAACCTTTATCAGCCTGAGGCAGATGAGTTTCCACATGTTTGCAACTGGATTCATGTAATTCAATATAAATTTTGGAGGAAAAGCCTAATTTAGCCTCTAAGTAATTAGACAAACAAATCAGATTTGGCCACACTGAGCACCATGGTTTAACTACTCATGTCTCTTTTCATGTTCTCTTGGATCATCAAAATGAACATTAACGTGCAAAAAAAAGCCTTAGGAAACTTTAGCATGGAGTTGTGAAATTCAAAGCAAAGATCTTATTTATTTTTTCATTAGAGGGATGGGGGCAAAAATCACCAAGTTCAAACCACTAAGGTAAATAGTATTCAAGGAGGGTAGTCATGTCTGTTACAGGCTTTAAAAACACCGATGAGAGGGTACCCTTAAATCACAGCATCGAGAAGGAGAAAACCATAAGACATATTGGTTATTTGTTCTGCTCATACTCTGTGCAAAAAATTCAGGTTGGAATCTGTTTGCTTCTAGCAGAGCTGTGTGAGAGGTTCGTTTTCTTCGAAGTCGTCTGCAATATGATTCCCTTCTGTATTGTCAAGCTTGGTTATCGCAATTACCAGGCCGCCATTTTGAACCTGTGTTTTATTGGAGCGTCAATCCTTACCCGGGTGTTTGCAGGTTGGCTTGCTGATGTCTGCCTAGGAAGAAACAAACTGGTCCATATTTGCTTATTTCTGCATTTTCTAGGTGAGTGTCCACTTCTGACTGGATTGTTTTACAACTTATTTTAGTGGATTTTTATTCGAATGTTTGATTTATGTTATTCCTACCTTGTTTTTAGCATAAAGTGTAATAAATGAGCCTAGAATGTTGTTTCAATTTATTTTATTCTCTGTATAATTTGAGAGATACTCGTAAGGATGTATGTATGTGTGTGTGTCTCGATGTGTTTGTTAGAAGTTGCTTTGATACCTTTATCATTGCAGTGATTATATTTTATATTAATTATCTCTTCAAATGTCTGTGTTCTGTAGAATGCCCTCTTTTTCCCCCTTTCTATCACAAGCCCAAATTTGTGACAAATTCTTTGTGAAATGTGACGTTCATTTGCTTCACAATTAAAATGAAATGTGCTAAAAAGGTGTTTTGAAGTTCATGTAGAATAACTGAGAAACATTTTCATGAAAAAAGGTCTTTTAATTAGTCATATAGTAATTAAGATTGCATTAGAATACATGATTTCCATGTTATGAGCTATGGTTACCTGCTAAAAAAATGAGTGAATTTAACACTACCTGTGCTACTTTACATAGCAAAGAAAGAAATATATCCTTAAAATTTGGGAAGCGAAGTGATTGCAAGCAATGTTGGGAAAATATCAAGTTTGTTTAATAAGGTATAGAGACCAAGTTGGTGAACAGTCTAGAAATTTAGACTGTGAAGTTCAAGGTGGTCTTCTAGACACAAAGGAGTTACTGAAGATGAGATGAACACATTTGGGAAATCTTTCAATAAACAATCACAGTGAGAGGTTACAGAGAGAACAGAAAATCTCAGGACGCTGGTCTAGGTGATGGAGAAGTATCAATCCAGGAAAGAAGATAAAACCATAAAAAAAAACTCATTAACAAAATAAGGGCACAAATATGATGGAAGGACAGAAATTAACTCCAGGTTCTGAGTTGAGGAACTTAGGAAGGTAGTTCATCAAAACCAACCAGTGCAGCAGAAATGCAGTTTGGGGCGATGGGGAAGATGATGAGGAAGTGATGGATGGCAGGTATTCAGCCTGTGCACATTTCCATCAGATGGTCAAGTACCAGTCACTGAATCAATCAGAGTGTGATTCAAACTTGGAAACTGCTTCAGTTCTGTGAGACATAAACTAAATCACTGCATGGCAAATATTCATTCACCATTCCACAAATGTTTCTCATTGACTACTAGGTATTGTTCCAGGTTTTGGAATGTAACAGAGAAGAAGGCAGTCTCTTCTTATGAAGCTAACTTTCTCAAATGGGACATGAGAAAATCAAGAAATAGCTATTTTGTTGGGTGGTAATGTACAATGGACCCACTCCAGTGTTCTTGCCTGGAGAATGCCAGGGATGGGGGAGCCTGGTGGGCTGCTGTCTGTGGGGTCACACAGAGTCAGACAGGACTGAAGTGACTTAGTAGAAGCAACAGCAGCAGCAATGTACAATGATTAAAAATAAAGCTGGGGAAGTGAACAGGACAGACTAGATAGTGACAAGGCTGCTCTTCTGTATCAGGGACTATTTTCTGATGAGGAGGCATTTAAGCATGATTTACTCTTTTTTACTTGGTAACAGACTACATAGTAGTGTACATATACATCAGTGCCAATCACCTTTGCAGATAAGATCATCTATATCATTTTTCTAGATTCCACATACATGTGTTGATATATGTTATTTGTTTTTCTCTTTCTGACTTACTTCACCCTGTATGATAGTCTCTGGGTTCATACATGCCTCTACAAATGACCCAATTTCATTCTTTTTTATGGCTAAGTAATACTCCATTGTATATATGTACCACATGTTCTTTATCTGTTCCTCTGTTGATGGACATTTGGATATCCAAAAAACATGAAATATATGTATATGTATACATAGAGCTGATTCACTTTGCTATACAGTGGAAACTAACACAATATTGTAAAGTAACTATACTCCAATAAAAAATTTTAAAAAGAAAAATATAAGCAATTCATGCTAAAAAAAAAAAAAAACCCAAAAAAGTTTTCTTTAACAGGCTTCTGAGTTGCCTAAGATCATAGCATTTTCTCTATTGACTAAGAACAAATAACCCTTGTGAACGGTGGTTTTCTTTGAGGGGTGGAGTGCAGACATCTTTAGTATCTCACATCAAGTGTTTCTGAATTGTTTTAATTTTGTTAAAATGGACTTGATTTGTTCTCCCAAAAACCTTTCTCCCACCCAGGCTGCCACATAACCCTGAACAGAGTTCCATGTGCTGTACAATAGGTCTTTGTTGATCATCTATTTTAAACATAGCAGTGTGTGTGTATGTATGGCTGAGTCCCTTTGCTATTCACCTAAAATTATCACAACATTGTTAATCGGTTATACCCCAATACAAAATAAAAAATTCCTCCAAAATGGACATGATTTGTTTATGCATTCTTAGAGGTGGTTTGAGTTTGAGGGAAAAATAAACTAGGACTCTGGATTCATTAAAAACACATATTGAGGGAAATATTTACTTTTAGGAAAATTATATTACCTCCAGAATTGCCATGATTAATATTTTAACAAGATTGTCACAAGATGAGGCTACATTCAGCAGAAAAACTTTATTTCTGGTGTGCTTTGGTGAGTCAGTGGTCTATGCATATTTATTTATCTTTTTCTCCATCTACAGGCTCTGCTTTATTATCTGTGGCTGCCTTTCCCTTGGAGGATTTCTACATAGGCACTCACCATCTGATTAACAACGTACCCAAAAAAGAGCAGAGGAGACTATTTCACGTAGCACTGTTGGCTGTCTGTCTTGGCACAGGAGGAATCAGAGCTATAGTCTGTCCATTGGGTGCTTACAGCCTTCAGGAGTGTGGATCCCAGAAATGAACATCCCTTTTTAACTGGTAAGTAGCGCTAGCTAGGAGAGGAAACAGGCTTATGACATCCTTTTCCCTTTGTGCATTTCTCACTGTTTGCTCTCTGGTTCCCTTTTGATGTCAGTCATTCAGTCTTTGCCATTGATTGGGCTGGGTGACGTGAGATACCTGTGACAGTGATTAAGCCAGTAGTCCTGGGGGCCTATGAGTCAGGTATAGACCAATACAGCTTACCGGCACCTTTTTGAAACACATTGATGAATTTGTCCTCCACATAAACAAGTGTGAGATGGTGTGTCATATTGAATAGAAGATGGTTTTGGAGCCAAACAGGCCTTGATGGAAATCTCAGCTCTACACAATTGCCTGATCTTAGTCATGCCATTTTCTTTATGAGTTTAACCATTTCTGAAGGGTTATCATAATACCTCTCCTTGGATTTTCTTAGAGGTAATAATATGTATATTGCTGGCAGAGAACATGGCACATAGTACTAATCAATAAGTAATCAATAAGTTGTTTTTCTTAGTTATGTCTACATTGTAATAGACTAATTCAGCAGGGATTATAAATTCAGCAAGAAGATGAGAAGGATGGAAGAAGAATTTTACTTCTTAAATATCCATTAAAGCATCAACCAACATCTCTATTTTACATTTACTGTAAAATACAGAATTTCTAGTCCCTAGAAATCAAACCACATTTCTATGAGTCTTTCTCTCCCAGTGAGTTCTTTTACAGTGTTATGGATTTCTAAAGAACCAATTTTAATTATCAAATGCAAATTCAAGAAAAAATTGAAATTTTGATCTTAAGAAAAAGTAGTTCAACACTTAGTAGAGAACTTCGTTGTTACTGTCATTCATCAGTGGATATCAGATATATCTGAGATATGTTGTCTTTCTTCCTCTTCTCTGTGAAATGAGCTAGCAACATTTTTCTAAAATATTGCCTTTTCCACCAGTGTTAGCAATAGATAAAAGCAAAGCAGAAATAGCATCAGACAAAATGTCTAAAGAGAACTCATATTTAAAGCATTACATGAAAAAATTATAAAAATATTATTTAGGTATTATTACATGTGGCTATCTGAGACAGTTCATTTTTTTCTTTCTGTCTTTCTTTCTTCCTTCCTTTCCTTCTCCCCACCCTCCTGCCGTATTATATTAATATTACAAAGCACTCAGGCCTATTTTGGATTAAGTCCAGATGAAAGAGAATAATGCTATTTTACCAAAGGTGGAAGGAACTCTTTACTTCCTTACAGCAAATTCTGCCTCCTTGACCTGCCCAAAGGAGAAAGAAAAATCTTTCTTTTTTATTCTATTCGGAGGTTTTAATCCTTAATTAGCAACATCATTTTGATTAAATAAGACTCTGGAGGATTAAGACTAGAGAGCAATCAGTTGTTCTGAAAGATAGCTCTGGAGAATTTATTGTACTGTGGTCTTAGTCATTCAGAGTTGTGTTTAATCAAAGTGACATTTCTCAGCGTTGATTACAAAGGAGACATTATATGAATGAAATATTTCCTCGGGGAAATGGAGGGGACACCCAATGGGTTTGTGCTTTAGGACATTGGAAAGGGGGATGAGGGATGGGGTGAAAATGAATTTCTGCAGCCAGGCCATATTTAAGATGAACACCTTTAGATTGGGTTACTTATTATTTTCTGATTTCATTAAAATCTCCGATAAAGGGATCATGCAACATTTTTTAAAATTAAGGGCGCTGAGAAAGGGATATAAAGAATCATAGAGTGTTATTCTTTAACATGATGAAAGACTGTAGAAATAATAAGCTCCTCGAAGGCTGAAGATGGTTGTTTTTTCTTTCTCAGTTCAAATACTAAACTATAGGGAAACTTTTATGAACAGCTGCTTGTTGCAGTTTATAGAAATGAATGTTCATTCTATTCTTGTACGTACTGCAGGGGTTGGTGGCAAGATGGATAGAACCCTTGCTGGGCAGCCAGACAGCTGGCAGGAACCTGGCTGTGTCACTTAGGTATCTTACGGTTTTCGGCAAGTTTCTTCACCTCTCAAAGCCCCGGGTCCCTCAACCACAGAATGTGGATGCCTTGGAGGGCTGTTGTGGAGTTTTTATGCAAAGTACCAAGGCACATTATAGATATTCAAATCAGTGTAGCTATGACCAGTGTTATTCAGTGACAAATCAGCTAAAGTCATCTTCCAACTTCTGGGAAAGAGGAAGGCCATTTAGGAGAAGGTCATCTTTAAAATGAGCAGTCTGTTGATTTATCATCTATTTCTTCAAATCAAAAATACCCCTAGAAATTACAAGCCTGGTTAATATAATGAATTTCAGTAGTGGCTTTTGAAAAAGCAACATACCACTTGAATCCATAACCACTTGAAGGTTGCATCCAGTTCCGGTTTCAGCACAGATGTCAGATGTTCATAGTTACGGGACCCTTAATGAGATGTGTCATTGCATCTCTACCACCTAACGCTTCCCAATGATCATGTGAAATAGTGGAGACTGGAAGTCTCAGGCATTGAAAGCACCACTTCCGAGTGGAGCTGCCAAATGTAGGTGAGAAAACCTCTCCCAGCCAACATCACCATCTGGTACTGGATCATCCTCAAATATGTACCTCATTGAAAGAATAAAGCTAAGCTCCCTGAAATCAAGAGGCATAATAATCTGCCAACTTCTCCTTGTACCATCATCCAGAACTGAACCTGGCTCTTTCAGCGTTTTCCAAACTCTGAGGTGTACAATTAAGAGTTACCATACTGGAGATCATATAAATAAATACACCTGTGCAGAATCTTTTCCGGAAGCAAACTCAATGGTGAATAATAAGTCTGTTCATGACTGTAATTTTAAATCCTACCACAGTTAAACTTAAATCTTGCTCCCTCACATCTCTACTTTGGGTTTCCCTGGTGGCTCAGATGGTAAAGAATCTGTCCACAATGCAGGAGACCCAGGTTCGATCTCTGGGTTTGGAAGATCCCTAGAGAAGAATAACAACCCACTCCAGTATTCTTGCCTGGAGAATTCCATGGACAGACAAGCCTGGTGGGCTACAGTTTATGAGATCGCAAAGAGTCAGACATGACTGAGCGACTAACATTCACTCACTCATATCTCTACTTACTTCACCTGATAATTTGCGTCCCGTCTGCATATCATAGGCTATTGTGAACCAGTTACCAGAGTGAATTCTACATGCTGTAAAGGTTCAAATAGTATATTGGTAAGTTTCTTGTAAAAGCCTAGAGACTGAATTATTCCATCCCTGAAATTTTGATTATCTGGTACTCAGTTTGACTCTACATAATATATGCCTACTACTAAAGTGTTCTAATTTAAAATACTTACTCAGATTTAATATTTTTTATCTTAGGAAAACACTAGAGGTAAAAAATTATTATCCCACAGCCTTTTTTTCAAACCTGTTGTAATATTTTACTAAAATATTGTCTGACAGAAAGTGAAAGTTAGTCACTTAGTTGTGTCTGACTCTTTGTAACCCCATGGACTGTAGCCCACCAGACTCCACTGTCCATGGGATTCTCCAGGCAAGAATACTGGAGTGGGTTGCCATTCCCTTCTCCAGGGCATCTTCCCAACCCAGGGATCAAACCTGGGTCTCCTGCATTTCAGGTGGATTCTTTACTAGCCAAGCCACCAGGGAGTATTAGAGTATTGTCTGAGAGAAGTGATTCTCAAACCTAGATGTCCAGGAAAGCTTAAAAATACTGATGCCTGGACCCTGCCACCAGAAATTCTGATTGTGTTAATTTGAGGTGGGAACCAGAGACGAAGCTTTTTTTTTAAGCTGCCAAAGTAGTTAGGTTTGAGAACCACTGCTCTCAAGCAGTGTTGCCTGATTTTAAGAACCACTTGAGGATTTTGTTAAAAAATGTTTCCCATAACTATGCTTAATGCAGTGTGATGACTTCAATGGGAAGGAAATTCAAAAGGGAGAGGGTACATGTATGTGTATGGTTGATTCATTTTGCCGTACAGTAGTAATTAACACAACATTGTAAAGTAACTATATGCCAATAAGAATTAATTAAAAAACAAAACAAACAAACAAAAAACATTGCCCATGTCCCTACCTCCAACTTCTCAGATCAGAATTTCCTGGGAGCGTAGCTGGGGAATGTGCATTTTTACCAAGTGCTTCAGAATTTTGAAAACAGTTCCAGAGACAAGAAAAGAGAACTCCACGCGTGGTCTGGATTCTTGAAAAGAAATGGAGCTAAACACTGATGGAAGCACTTATATTGTACCAAGATGCTTCAGAAAATTTTGATGATTCATAACAGTTTTTCTTTACCACTCCAGAAATCTACCTGATTGAGAAATCCTACCTAATCCTTGAGGAGAAAAACAAAATATGAAATTACACAATTTTGCAATGGTAAAATCATAATTTACAAGATCCATTTCAGCTAACAAAGTCAAAACAGCTCTTGGCATAGTCTTATTAGAACTCATTTCTTATTAGTACTCATTAACATGGACATAACTCTTTTTATTGCTTTGCTTTATTGTTCTTCACAGGGAATAGAATTTTTAAGTTTAAAAATGTATAAATTTTTATGAATTGTAAATTTTATAGAATTTACAAATTGCAAGCTAATGGCAACCTTGTGTGTAGCAAGTCTATTGGTGCCATTTTTTCCGACAGCCTTTGCTGACTTTGTGTCTCTGAAGCATCTGATAATTCTCACAGTATGTAAACTTCATTATTATTATTTTATTTATTATGGTGATCTGTGATCAGTGACCCTTGATGTTACTACCACCGTGCACTCAAAGCTCAGATGATGGTTAGTATTATTTAACAATAAAATATTTTTAAGTTAAGGTAAGCACATTATTTTTTTAGGCATAATGCTATTGCATGTTTAATGCATAGTTTAATGCGTAGTGTAAACATAACTTTTATATACATTAGGAAACCAAGAAGTTTTTGCACCAGAAACTTCATGCCCCCTGTTATATCTTAGTGGTCTGAAACCAGACCCATAATATTGATATCTTCAAGGCATGCTTTCACTCAGAATATCTTCTAAGTTGAATAGTGAGGAATAGCTTGTAAACAGTTTTTTTTTAAAAACCACTAGACCTTCCAAAATTCTATTTGCTTGGGCTCCAGCCAAGTTTAACAAATGTGCCCACTCACCGTAGTAACAACAGGCACCTCCTCTGTTATCTTTGCCAAAATTGTCAACATTCAGAAAATACACTCAGAATTCCTCTCTAACATGCAATGACAAACTAAACAGTATTGAGAAAAGGAAAAAAAAAAGAAAGAAATCTCTTACATTTCTTACTGATACTGCAGCTTCCCACTTTTTTCTTTAGGCCTGTGTGGTGGCTTTTAAGCTGTAGATGCATCAATAGTGATTTATTGTCATCAATAAACATGCAGTGGTTCAAATATCTTGAACTCAGAAAATGATACACTTTTTTTTTTTTTAAAAGAAGAAAGCAACAGAGTAAATTTGAAGACCTAGTGGGCTTTATTAGGTCATTCATGAATTGGGGAGCATCTCTTCTAACAACCGAAAGAGTACTTTGAAAGACTGTGCAAAATGGAAGGCTTTTGTAGGAAGAAGGGTGGGGCAAGAGAACTATTAGCAAAAGAAAATAAAGCATTATTTTGGGGCCAGTATATCTTCTTCTGCGGGTGGGTGTTGGGAAGGGAATGGCAAGGGTTATACCACATAGGTTGCTGCTTTTTCTCCTGAGGGATGGAGAGGTTCACAAGACAGATGACTTCACTGATGCTGACCAGAACACTCCAGACTGGTTGATTACATTTCTGGGGAGGCTCAAAACTTCAAGTAAGTCATGTATCTAAGTCTAGGTTTGATATCATGAACTTTAGCCCAAGTGATATTATTTTGGGCCTGGTTTTCTCTTCAACAACATTAACAACTGTTAAAATTGGGATGTTGAGAGAAGAAAGGGAAATAAAGACAGAAAAGGAATGAGAGCAAGTTAGAAGAGTGAGAGGCAGGGACAGCAAAGAAAGAGGATGAAGTGTTCCCCTGAATTTCTTGATTAAAAATAAACCTTTTACTTTAATCGTGCTGCCTGTCCACCAAAATCAATGATCGTCTTTTATTAATCTGTCTTTTCTTTAATAGCATTGTTGAAAAATACTTACAGATGAAAAGTAGAAAAAAATTATATAAATGAATTTCTTTACAAAACAAAAACAGACTCATTAATTTTGGAAACAGATTTACAGCTAACGAGGGGAAACTTAGCAGGGAGGGATAAATTAGGAGCTTGGGATGAACACACAGATACTACTGTATTACTGTTGTTTAGCTGGTCAGTCATGTCCTACTCTTCTGCAAACCCATGGACTGTAACTCTCCAGGCTCCTCTGTCCATGGGATTTCCCAGGCAAGAATACTGGAGTGGCTTGCCATTTCCTTCTCCAGGGATCTCCCTGACCAAGGCTCGAACCTGGATCCTGCATTGGCAGGCAGGTCCTTTAACACTGAGCCACCTGGGAAGCCCACACTACTATATTTATATCATAGATAATCAACAAGGACCTATTGTGTAGCACAAGGAATGCTACTCAATATTCTGTAATAACCATGTGGGAAAAGAATCTGAAAAAGAATGAATATATGTACTATTTAACTGATTCACTATGCTGTATACTTGAAACCAACACAAACTCTGTAAATCAATTATAATCCAATAATTTTAAGTAGAAACTGCAAAACTTCCTCTGGTCTCTCTTTCTCCAAGTTCATGTCAGCCAGATTATTATTTGAAGTACTTCAAAAAAAGCAGAGACGTTACTTTGCCAACAAAGGTCCATCTAGTCAAGGCTATGGTTTTTCCAGTGGTCATGTATGGATGTGAGAGTTTTGGACTATAAAGAAAGCTGAGCACCAAAGAATTGATGCTTTTGAGCTGTGGTGTTGGAGAAGACTCTTGAGAGTCCCTTGGACTGCAAGGAGATCCAACCAGTCCATCCTAAAGGAGATCAGTCCTGGGTGTTCATTGGAAGGGCTGATGTTGAAGCTGAAACTCCAATACTTTGGCCATCAAATGTAAAGAGCTGACTCATTGGAAAAGACCCTAATGCTGGGAAAGATTGAGGGCAGGAGGAGAAGGGGACAACAGAGGATGAGATGGTAGGATGGCATCACTGACTCAATGGACGTGAGTTTGGGTAAACTCCGGGAGTTGGTGATGGACAGGGAGGCCTGGCGTGCTGCGATTCATGGGGTCGCAAAGAGTTGGACACAACTGAGCAACTGAACTGAACTGAATGAATGGGCCGTGGTTATGCTAGAAGGAGCAGTGACTGACAACCGCATCCACCATGAAATCAGCGCCCCAGTGTTACACTGACTCTTCTAAACAGTTCAATTTTAACCCACTGAAGAGCCACAAATCCTGGTGAAGAGTCACCATAATCCTGGTGAATTATCTCAGTATCGTTCCATGAAGAATAACATATTCTCTCTGAACTCTTAACATTGTCCACTAAGGCTTGGGATGCCTGGAAGTTTTCCTCCCCTCTTTCATTATGTTCTCAAGTAGGATGGAAAGCCCATTTCAAACTGTGTCTCTTATAATAACTTAAAATAAGTCTGAAGCATGTCAAAATTGGTCATTCTAAAAAATGACAAAACGTTTGAGTGACTTTAAAAATTATTGCTAAATAAATTATGGTGAATTTTAAAATTATTAATCCCAAAAGGTTTGCTAAATTTTGCAGCAATAAGGTTTATCCCCTTTAGTTGTATTCAACACTATGGAATCATGAAGACCAAAAAAAAAAAAAAATTACCGTTTATATATACTCCCAATTATTTGCAGTTCCCAGTCTGTGTTTAAAAGTAGACTAAAGAAACATATTTTTACTGCTGCTTTCAATTTTCCTTAATCACTGGTATTTATTTTGCTTTAGTGCTTTGCTCTCTGACTTTCTGTGTGAAAGGTGCTTTATATATTCAATTTGCTAGTGAGCTATGAGATGAAAGGAGTCTTAATGGTGAATTTGAAGACTGTGGACTTTTATTTCTTTTATTTTTTTTTACAGTTGATACATATATAATTTCACCCTTAATTATCTATGGCTTGTCCTGTCCATGGATCAACAAAGACATATATAAAGCGTGATTGTACTAGGCAATTCTTTTAGAAAATTACACAATCAAATAGGTCGGGTGACATTTGTTAAAATACACTTAGTACTTTATGTGAAATCTCTTCCTATACAGAGATATTCAGCACTATAATTCTTTGGTTTATAACTATATTTCACAAGATGTAAGTCTTGGAAGAATTGTAATTTTCCTTGACCCTCTTTAGAGTAATTCCATTTACATTCCCCAGTGGTGTACTGAAGAGTCTCACGGTGTCCTCTTGGATTTCTCTGCAATACTTAGCATTTGAAACAGGGTTTCTTAAAGATTAGAAAGGACTATAACATTGCTTGCAGCTCCAGCTTCTCTTTGTTACTACCAGCCACAGTTCAAGTGTGCGGCTTGCAGAGACATTAAAGATGACCTGCGGTAGAGCCAAGGGACTCTATCCCATTGTCCTAGAAGATTCTAACTTTGTACCTCCCCTGCATGGTGATAAATAAATCACTATTAGTAGATTATAGTCAGTCAGCTTACTCTGCATGACCGTTCTTGACATTTGATTACTTTCCTGTCAGTTATGGAGAGTAGATGTTCAAGATTTTGAATGGGGTGATCATTTCATGGGTGCATACATATTCAAAACTTAAATTGACAAGATGACATTGGTCAGACCACCATATGACCAATTTCAAGATGGCCGTCAGACTCACTGTACTGTTTCTATATGTAGCCCCCTTCCTCTGCTGATAAAAGCTCTTGCCCATTGATCGTCAGTGGAGGGGAGTCAGCCTTTGGACAGGAGTCTGCTCTCCCCTTGCCCCGGTTATGTGTCCAACTCATTGTGACCCCATAGACTTAGCCCACTAGGCTCCTCTGTCTATGGGATTTCTCAGGCAAGAATACTGGAGTGGGTTGCCATTTCCATCTCCAGGTAATCTTCCTGACCCAGGGATCAAACCCGGGTCTCCTGCACTGCAAGTGGATTCTTTACCAACTGAGCCACCAGGGAAGCCCCCTGCCCTAGTTGCTGGCACCCAAAACAAACCAATTTTTCCTTCCTACCGACTTTGTCTCTTTATTGGCTTTTGAGCAGTGAGCAACCAGACCCCACTTAATAAGTATGTATTTAAAAAGAAAGCTAATAAAGAGAGATGCAGATGGCCAACGGGCATATGAAAAGATGCTCAACATGTCTAATCATCAAGGAAATGCAAATCAAAACTACAATGAGATATTACTATCACTTCACACCCATCAGAACATCTATCATCAAACAGAACACAAATAACAAATGTTGGTGGGGATGTGGAAGAAAGGGAACCCTTGTGCACTGGGGGTGGGAATGTAAATTGGTACAGCCACTGTGGAAAACAGCATGGAGGTTTCTCAAAAAACCAAAAATAGAACTACCATATGACCCAGCAATTCCACTTCTGGGTATATATATCTGAAAAAAAAAAAACACTAATTTTGAAAAGAATCATGCACCCCAATATTCATAGAAACATTATTTACAGTTTCCAACATATGGAAACAGCCTGTGTCCATCAATAGATGAATGAATAAAGGAGATGTGGTATATACATACAATGGAATACTACTCGGCATAAAAAAGAAAGAAATTTTGCCATTTGCAGCAACAAGGATGGAATTGGAGGGTATTTTGTTAAGTGAAATAAGTCAGATAGAGAAAGACAAATACTGTCTGATATCACTTATATATAGAATCTAAAAAATGCAACAAACTAGTGAATATGACAAAAGAGAAACAGACTCACAGATATAGAGAATGAACTAGTGGTTATGGGATAGGGGAATATAGAGGCTGGGGGAGTGGGAGGTACAAACTGTTGTATGTAAGATAGCCTACAAGGATGTATTTGTACAACATGGGGAATAGAGCCACTGTTTTGTAACAGCTATAAATGGAGAATAGCCTTGAAATGAAAATTTTTATAAAATTTTAAAAATGGAATTTGAAAAAAAAGCTAATAAACAATATTTGCAAAATCTAGTTTGGCTCATATACTACTACTTTAGAGCTCATGTTTATTAAAAGAATTAAAATTAGCAATTATTATATGAAGCTACTCAATGGCAATTTTATTTTTGTTTCTGATTCCCAGGTTTTATTGGATCATGAACTTGAGTGCAACTGTGGTCTTTCTGGGAATATCTTATATCCAGCACTCAGGGGCCTGGGCCCTGGTTTTACTTATTCCTTTTATGTCCACACTTATGGCTCTGATAACTCTTTATATGATGCACTATAACCTGATTTATCAGCCAGAAAAATGTAAGTAAATCTCACTTTACATTTTGTTTTTGTTTTTGTTTTTATGGTTTTCTTGATACATCTTCTTCTCTTAGATTCCCTATAATTTCACTTTCAACTCAGAGAATCTGTAGAGTCTGTCACTTCACTTGAGAGCAGCAGAGTATAAGAATATCAATAATCTCTATCTTATTTTTACCTTGTTAAAAGAGTTTTACTAATGGAATATTTTAAGCATAAACAAAAGTAGAAACAAATCATATATGAACCCTTCTATCTAACTCTCAGCTTTGATGATTCTCAATTCATTTCTACTCACTTTTTCCCCATCCCTACTGGTAGTTCTGAAGCAAGAACTAAATATTAATGCTTCATATGTGTGTGTATAAAAAGAAGCTATATATATGCTCAATACTTAAAAAATATAATCACAATGTCATTAACACACACAGAGAATTTCTTAAGATGATCAAGTATCTGTTAAAAAATCTCTGTTTCCCTTTTAAAATTTGTTTATTTTGTTTTTTTATAATTTATTCAAATAAAATCCAAATAAGGCCCATATATTCCAAATGGCAGCTATGTCCCTTAAACCATATATATTTCCCCTTCATCTCTATTTCTCTCCTTTCAGTCTTTTTTCCTTAAGAAATCTGAACATTTCACATAATCTGAATTTTGCTGATTACATCCATTTAATGTCACCCAAAGATTTTCCCTCTTTATTTCCCCTAAAATATCTGACAGACATAGATCCTTGATCAGATTCATATTTTTCATTTTTGGCAGAATTCTTTCACAGATGGTGTTAGGTACTTCACACTGTCTCATTATCTGCTTTTGCAGGGTCAGTACCAATTGATAATTTTTGTCTAAATCTAAGATCCCATTGGGGGTTGCAGGTTGGTGATATTCCATATTTCTTCCTCTTTTATTAACTGAAATAATTCTATAAAGAAATTCTATAAAGAGAAATTTTATTAGCTGAAATATATTCTCAATAACTATTTCATTGCACAGAAGTACAGTTTGTGTAAGGAAAAGAAGTTCAGTTCAGTTTGGTTCAGTTGCTCAGTCATGTCCGACTCTTTGTGACCCCATGAACTGCAGCACACCAGCCTCCCTGTCCATCACCAACTCCCAGAGTCCACCCAAACCCATGTCCATCAAGTTGGTGATGCCATCCAACCATCTCATCCTCTGTCATCCCCTTCTCCTCCTGCCCTCAATCTTTCCCAGCATCAGGGTGTTTTCAAATGAGTCAACCCTTCACATCAGGTGGCCAAAGTATTGGAGTTTCAGCTTCAACATCAGTCCTACCAATGAACACCCAGGACTGATCTCCTTTAGGATGGACTAGTTGGATCTCCTTGCAGTCCAAGGGACTCTCAAGTCTTCTCCAACACCACAGTTCAAAAGCATCAATTCTTTGGCGCTCAGCTTTCTTTATAGTCCAACTCTCACATATACATGACTACTGGAAGAACCACAGCCTTGACTAGATGGACCTTTGTTGACAAAGTAATGTCTCTGCTTTTTAATATGCTATCTAGGTTGGTCATAACTTTTCTTCCAAGGAGTAAGTGTCTTAATTTCATGACTGCAGGCACCATCTGCGGTAATTTTGGAGCCCAGAAAAATAAAGTCAGCCACTGTTTCCATTGTTTCCCCATCTGTTTCCCATGAAGTGATGGGACCGGATGCCATGATCTTAGTTTTCTGAATGTTGAGCTTTATGTCAACTTTTGCACTCTCCTCTTTCACTTTCATCAAGAGGCTCTTTAGTTCTTCTTCACATTCTGCCATAAGGGTGGTGTCATCTGCATATTTGAGATTATTGATATTTCTCCCAGCCATCTTGATTCCAGATTGTGTTTCTTCCGGCCCAGAGTTTCTCATGATATTCTCTGCATAGAAGTTAAATAAGCAGGGTGACAATATACAACCTTGACATACTCCTTTTCCTATTTGGAACCAGTCTGTTGTTCCATGTCCAGTTCTAACTATTGCTTCCTGACCTGCATACAGGTTTCTCAAGAGGCAGGTCAGGTGGTCTGGTATTCCCATCTCTTGAAGAATTTTCCACAGGTTATTGTGATCCACACAGTCAAAGGCTTTGGCATAATCAATAAAGCAGAAATAAATGTTTTTCTGGAACTCTCTTGCTTTTTTGATGATCCAGCAGATGTTGGCATTTGATGTCTGGTTCCTCTGCCTTTTCTAAAACCACCTTGAACATCTGGAAGTTCTCGGTTCACGTATTGCTGAAGCCTGGCTTGGAGAATTTTGAGCATCACTTTACTAGTATGTGAGATGAGTGCAATTGTGCAGTAGTTTAAGCTTTCTTTGGCATTGCCTTTCTTTGGGATTGGAATGAAAACTGACCTTTTCCAGTCCTGTGGCCACTGCTGAGTTTTCCAAATTTGCTGGCATATTGAGTGCAGCACTTTCACAGCATCATCTTTCAGGATTTGAAATAGCTCAACTGGAATTCCATCACCTCCACTAGCTTTGTCATAGTGATGCTCCCTAAGGCCCACTTGACTTCACGTTCCAGGATATCTGGCTCTAGGTGAGTGATCACACCATCATGATTATCTGGGTCATGAAGATCTTTTTTGTATAGTTCTTCTGTGTATTCTTGCCACCTCTTCTTAATATCTTCTGCTTCAGTTAGGTCTCTACCATTTCTGTCCTTTATTGAGCCCATCTTTGCATGAAATGTTCCCTTGGTATCTCCAATTTTCTTGAGGGAAAATATTATAAGTGTCTAATTCTTTCCCTCTATTTTCAGATTTTCAAATTAATGAGGTAAACTTCAGTGTCTTCCAAAGATGATCTATTAGTTGTTTTTAACCTATTGTTAAAAACAACTAACAGGTCATCTTTTAGTGACCCTGTGGACTGGGCTGTAGCCCACTAGTCTTCTCTGTCCATGGGATTCAGCCAGCAAGAATACTGGAGTGGGTTACCATTTCCTCCTCCAGGAAATCTTCCCAACCCAGGAATTCAACCCGCATATCTTATGTCTCCTGCATTGGCAGGTGGGTTCTTTACCACTAGTGTCATCTGGGAAGCCCATAGATTCCATATATATGCATTAATGTACAATATTTCTGTCTTACTTCACTCTTTATAATAGGCTTTAGGTTCATCCCCTGCATTAGAACTGACTCAAATTCATTCCTTCTTATAGCTGAGTAATATTCCATTTTATATATGTACTACAATTTCTTCATCCATTAATCTGTCAATGGACATCTAGGTTGCTTCCATGGTCTACTACTGTAAATAGTGCTGTGATGAATAGCACTACAAGTTGTCACTGTTATTGAGTTGCTAAGTCATGTCTGACTCTTTGTGACCCTATGGACTGTAGCCCACCAGGCTCCTCTGTCCATGGGATTTCCCAGGCAAGAATACTAGAGTGAGTTGCCATTTCCTTCTCCAGGAGATCTTCCCAACCCAGGGATTGAACCCACACCTCCTGCATTGCAGGTGGATTCTTAGCCTTTGAGCCACTAGCAGAGCCCTTTCATGCACAAGACTTTTGTCTATTTGCTTTGCCTTTGCATAGTTTATATTTGAAATAAAATTTACCTATCTTCTTTATGTTTCTAGATTTTGAATTATGGTGAAAAAGTTTTCCTCACTCCCAGATTATAAAAGAATTCATTCATATTTCTTTTGGTGTGTATATATACATATATATATATATATATATATATATATATATATATTTACCTTTATATCTGTGACCCATTTGGAAATTGTACTAGAATAAGTTTTAAAAAGTGAACTCAATTTTATCTTTTTCCATATGACGGTTTATTATCCAGCCTCTTATTAAAAAGTGTAATTTTTCCCACTGCTTTGAGGTGCCACCTTCTTGTATACCACCACTTGCATTTCTGGAATTTCTCTTCTCTTTCTTTGATCAGTCACCCTGTTCATATTATCTCTCTTGTTTAAAAAAACTCTGATCTTAATTTCTAACATATTTTACTTTCAGTAGTACCTTCAGTGTTACCACTATTTCTACCCCTTATCTATACAACTACCACTAACAGCAATGCAAGAAGTTATATTTTTTAAAATTAAGCACATTCACCACTTTTACTTCATTTCACCCCATACCAGTGAGGTGGGCAAGAAAGGCACAGTGTTCCCTTTTACAGACTATACTCCATGGACTTTTGTTTCTGTTCTTGTACCATCCCGAGCTTTACTTTTTCACCTAGCACGTTGTGTTGAAATGATCTATTTCTGAATACAGTTAAAAATTCATATGTCAGTTTGGCAGAAATCAACACAATACTGTAAAGCAATTGTCCTTCAATTAAAAATCAGTGAAAGTCGCTCAGTCGTGTCTGACTCTGTGACCCCATGGATTATACAGTCCATGGAATTCTCCAGGCCAGAATACTGGAGTGGGTAGCCTTTACCTTCTCCAGGGGATCTTCCCAACCCAGGGGTCAAACCCAGGTCTCCTGCACTTCAGGCGGTTTCTTTACCACCTGAGACACAAGGAAAGCCCCCAATTAAAAATAAATAAATTTAATTATAAAAGAAAATTCCTGAGTTGTATACATACTTGGAATATAGTAAATGCTTAGTGTTTGCTATTGTTAAACTGAGTGCAGAAGATGAGACATAATTGAATTTAATGAGTTGCCCAAGACGTCACAAGCAGTGGCTGATGTGGAACCAGAACCCAGATCTTACTTTTCTCAGGCTAGAGCTTGTTTTTTTTAACACCACGTACTGAGGCAGTGAGACAGGGAAAACATCACCCTGGAAGCCTCGGCCTTGTTTCTCCAAGTTCTGTGTTCTGTCCGTCACAGCTGGGCAGTACCCAGCCTCCTGGCAGCCTGTGGAATGGGTTCATCATGCAAAAAGATGTCTGAGAGATCCTCTCTGTCAGCCCCAAAAGGCAAAAAAGAGGAAAATGTAAAGGAAGTATAAACTTTTGTCAAAAGACCACTTTGGCATATTCTGGAGTATGTAATTGTCACATAATT